TGGCTCTTGCCTTTGACCGTGAGAGGGGGGGCTGGTGGGAGGGCTCCACGGGGACACCCCCAGGTCCCTTTGGCCTTGCTCCAAAAAGGGCTCGGCAGTTGAGGTTGGGCTGTGGCGACAGAACCCTAGGAAAGATGCCCAGCCGTAGCCAGGACACAGGTGGAGAAGCCCCTCCTCACTCTGCAGACATCCAGGGGTGCCTGGCACTGACCGGAGGTTTCGCTCTTGCCTGTGGAAACACCAAGGGAGCCCCAGTGATATTAGGATTCCACTTTGGTGGCTCGCGGGACTTCATCCGATCGCCTCGGCCCCGACAGAGTTTGCGAAAACATCCGCTGGGCAGAGAATTTATTATTTTTCTCACAGTAAGAAGTAGAATTTCTTCACGGTGGGCAAAAGGGGGGGGGACATCATGTTTTATTCTCAAATCGGGGGGGGGGGAAGGGTTCAAGAGATGAAGGGAAAGGTGGAGGAAAGTCTCTCCTTTGAGGAGCAGCCCCGGAGGTTCCCAGGCCCTCACCAGCACTTCCCCGCCACCCTGGCTCCGGCTTCTGGCCAGAGGGCTGAGCTTGGTTTGGTTGTGCCAGATTTCCCTTCTTGTCTTTGCCCTTGAAGGAAGAGACGGGGTTCCCGCAAGCAAATCATGCTGAGGCATAGGGAGCATAGGGGCTCCTGCTCCCGCAGCATCAGAGAGCTGGCTACAGGCAGCTGGGAGGGGGCCCTTCAGGCCGAAGGCAGACAGGGAGGACCAGGCCATTTAGGCCAGGAGCCAGGCCTCTCGGGCCTCCTCCAGATGTCCCAACTCAGCTGGGCCCTTCTGCTGCTCCTGCCCCACCCATGAGCCTAGGGGAAGCGTAGGCCGGGCCCTGCTGCCGAGTTGCACTCCTGCCTGGACGTTCCCCGTGGGTGTGGGTGGAGAGCTGGGGGATAGAGCCCAAGGATAGAATTTGCCTCCAGAAGCCTCGGCCTCCTGATCTCTTGGGAGGATCTGGCATTCGTGGAGTCGCTGTGCAGGAGCCCCCGAGCGTCCCAGCGGCAGAGAGGACGGGAACCGAGGCTAACGGGGAGATGGGCCCAGCCTTGCTGCCTCCATTGAGCTCCTGGCAGGGATCCCTGTGAGCAGCAAAGGAGAGCCCCCCCCTCCCTTCAAACAGGCAGCGCTCCGCATGGCTGCTGCTGGGGCTGCTCTCAGAGCAGCGCCCCCCCTCCTCCTCCAGAAAACGCGGCCCATCCCAAAGAAGGGCAGCAGGCCAACAGAAAGGCAGCGGCGACCCTTGTGCTGGGCGTCATCTCAGCACGGAGGAACAAAAGCCGCGCCCGTCAGCATCGCTGCCCATGGAGCAACCTGGATGGCCCTACCTGCTTAGCCGGCCCCGCCCCCGCCCGCTGGCCTGCAGCCGAGGGAAAGCTGCTCCGCCCTCCATTCAGCGTCTCGGTTGTCGCAAGTCGAGAGAGGATCCCAGCTGTTGCCAGCCTTCCTGTTGGCAGCCCTTGGGGTCAGGCCACTCGGCCGCTGAGCAGAGGCAGCAGCAGCCCTTCCCGGGCAGGAGATTCAGGCTGGGCGGGATGGAATCCTGCCGTGCGCCCCGGGCAACTCTGGCCCCCAGAAGCAGAAGGCGGCAGCTGCTGAGCCGCTCCTGGACCGCCTTTCCTTGAAGCTGGGAGCAAGACGAGGATGGGGACGAGGATTCCCTCGGATTCGGCCCTTGGGGGCACAGAGGTTCACCCCGAGAAGGAGGAGTCTGAGTCCAGGGCTGCTCCCTCCTCGGGCAGCTTTCGGCAAGGCTTGCTGCAGGGAGAGTGGACTGGTCCCCAGCTGACAGAGGAGGAGGGCAAAGGGCCCAGGACTGGGCCAGAAGCAGATGAGCCCTCTGGAGGCAGGGAGGAGGAGCCCAGCATCGCTTCCCCCATGGGGCATCCAGAAGGAGATCTGGGTGAGCTGGGAGTGGATTCTGGAGGGTCTCCTATGACCAAAGAGGCCTATGGCCCACTTGGGCTTGCAACACTTGGGCAGGAGGAGGAGGAGGAGGAGGAGGAGAACCGCCCACCAGGAAATGCACCCCAGCTGACTTTGGGGGAAGAGGAGGAAAGGGAAGGGGCTTGCCTGCTGGGGAGCAAAGTGCTGGGCCCGGGGAGGGGGGCCCCAGGGCAATCCTGCTGCATCGAAGCCGAAGACCCCGTGGCGGGGGACGAGCAGGAGTGCCCCATCTGCACGGAGCTCTACGACCAAGACGAGCGCAAGCCGGCCTTGCTCAACTGCAGCCACGTGCTCTGTGGCCAGTGCCTGCAGTCCATCCTCCAGGCGGGCAGCGCGGCCGACATTGGCCGCGTGCGATGCCCCATCTGCCGCCAGAAGACGCCAATGATGGAGTGGGAGATCTGCAAGCTGCAAGAGGAGCTGTTCCTGCTGAACGCTGCCCAGGGCCCGGAGCCCCCCGCCTTTAGCCCACTGCCACCCCGGCAGCCCGGCTTCTGGGGGGGCCTGGAGCACCACTTCCGCGTCCGCTTCCACACCAGCCGCGTGATGGGTTTCTTCCCCTGCCTCCGCTATCCAGCCTGCCTGGTGGGCGGCCTGGCGGAGCTGGAGCGCCGATGCCCCTGGTGCTACCGGACAGCTCTCTTGGCTCTGGCCGCAGCGGAGATGCTGAGCCTCTTGCTGGTCTTCCTGCCCATCCTTCTGCTGCTGCTGCTCTTCCTCATCCTGGACAAGTAGGGCTCCCGCTGGCCTGGCTCGGATCCAGGGGGCTGCGAGCAAGCGAGGAAGGGTGGGGGCCTCCGGCACAGCCTGCAAGCGAGGAAGGGCCCAAACTCCAGGCTGTTCTCTACGTGGCTTCCCTGGGAATGTTGCCCGCTCCTCCGACCAAGCAAGGAACCAGCTCCCTGGGAAAGGAGGCTTCGGAAAGCAGGGAACGGTGGCATTTGCAGGCGGCTCAGATGAATTGGAGATGGCTCTGAGGGCCTGGGGAAATGGGCTGCCGTATCTGTGGCCAGCGAGGAGCACCTAGTGCAGCAGAGGGAGGGGCTGTCCCTGGCACCCAACCGGTTGAGCTCTTGGCAGTGTGGTGTTCTGTGCTTTCCCAGGAAACTGGCCTTGTTCGGCCCACACCAGCCCTCTTGCCCAGGCTCTCTCTACGAAGCCTCGGATCCTTGCGTCCTCGACCCAGCCAGCAACGACCGGAGGCTGCCCGGGAGGGTCCGGGCTTGGTGTGTAAGGGAACGGTTGCTGCCAACAACATCGTCCTCTTCGCCAAGAGGGAAGAGAGGAAGCTGCCAGGCAATCTGGCCAAACCAAGCGCACGGGGTTTCTGGCTTGGCGTGACTCAGCAGGTGCCAGGCGCCCTCTGCTTGCTCGGTGGAGGAGGGCAGAGGCGGGAGCGGCTGGCACGGCCTGCCTCAAGCGTGGGGGAGGAGGAGAGGAGAGGAGGTCGGCAGCTGCCCAGAAACCCGTTGGCTGTTCTGCTCCAGCATCCCCTGTGGATTGCCTCCCGCCAGGGCTGCTTTCCCCAGCCTGTCCACCTGGGAGACCCAGTGCCCCTCCCTCCCGCCCCCCTGAAAGGCCGAACGCCCGCTCTCTGGGGCAGACCCACATAAAGGCTTTCCCAGAACGGCTGTCTCGTGCGTGACTCTCTACCTGGAGCCGACTCTGCTTAGTGAGCAAATGGGGGTCCCTTCAGGGTGGCCGCCTTGGGGGGGCTCACAAGTGCCTTCCCCCCTCCCCAGGACGGCAGGAAGGGGAGGGGAGGGCCTGCCTGGGGGAGCTGGTGGCACGTGAAGGGTGGGAGGAAGGAGGGGCCGCCTTCCCTGAAGGGCAGGAGGAGGAGGCAGGGTTACGCCACCCCAGAGTCTCTCCTCTCTCGGTGTTGAGCCTTATGGCCTGGTTTCTTACAACACAAATAGGGTGCACTGCACACCTGGTGACCCTGGGAGTCCTGTGTTGTGGGCGTGTGTCTGTGGACCCGTTTCCAGTGGCTTCTTTGCCCTGCCCTGACCCCCCCTCCCCAACTGCCACACCTCTTCCAGGCGTTTCCTGCTTCATTGCAAAGCTTCAGCCACAGAACCACTTCCTCTCTCCCCCTTGTGGCAGGAACCACGTGGAGGAAGAGAGGGGGAAAACGGTGGGGGAGGCAAAGCAAACAGCTCTCGAGTGATGGGTGACGGCCCCCTCAAGGACCCCTCGGAGACCCACTGGAGGAGCTGAGGACTCACAGCTTTTCCTTCAGGCTGAGGGGATGAACCTGTCTTCCTTTGGGTCCTCCAGTTGCGCTGGCTGATCAGGGCAAGGAGGGTGGCGAGCCGCCTGCTGGACTCTCTGGCTGCAGGCAGAGCCAGCGGTCAGCTGAGGAAACCCCACCTCTGCGGCCCGGAGCCCAGTTCTTCCAGCGTCCCAGTCCACTCTGCAGGTTGGCCTCTCTCACCACCTCCCTCCCTCCCCCTCTCTCTCCCTCCCTCTCTCTCTCCCTCTCTTTCCCTCTCTCTCTCACAGTTGCCTCCTCTCTCCACCTCCCTCTCCCTCCCTCTCTCTCCCTCTCACACACAGAGTTGCCTCCTCTCTCTCCCTCTCACACACACTCCTCCTCTTTCTCTCCCTCTTTCTCTCCCTCCCTCCCTCTCCCCCCTCTCTCACAGAGTTGCCTCCTCTCTCCCTCCCTCTCCCTCCCTCCCTCCCTCTCTCCCTCTCTCCTTCTCTTTCCCTCTCTCTCAGATTTGCTTCCTCACTCCCTCTCTCTCTCACACACACACACAAAGAGTTGCCTCCTCTCTCTCCCTCTCACACACACTCCTCCTCTTTCTCTCCCTCTCCCTTTCCCTCCCTCCCTCCCTCTCCCCCTCTCTCTCTCACAGAGTTGCCTCCTCTCTCTCCCACTTTCTCCCTCTCACACAGTTGCCTCCTCTCTCTCCCCCTCTCTCCCTCTCACTCCCTCTCTCGCACACACGCCTCCTCTTTCTCTCCCTCCCTCTGCACACACATGAATGGAGAGCACATGCCTGTTTTGGTTCAGGAGCATTCTTTATTTAGATTGGGCTGAGGGTTAACGAGACCGCCAGGTATAAAACAGGATCTTCTTCGTCAGCCATCTTGTTCTCTGGGTTGATGGCTGCAGCGCCTTCTTTCCTCTCCGCCTGGGCTTTGGGTGAAGCTTGGCAACCTACCCAAGGGACAAGCGGCTGTGGGCCTTTGGCCAAGCCAACGCCAGGCCTTTCCTGACCCGAGGTGTTCCTGGGAGGTTGGGGGGAGGGGAAATGCCCAGGCCACCACCGAGGAACTTTGCCTTCCTCAGCTGCTCCTCTTGAGATGGACTCAGGAGGGGCTTGGCTCCCCATCCTCTCCGCCCCTGTGGAAGCGAAGCCGAGAAGAGCCTGGCTAAGGCAGCTCTGCCCTTTGGCTGACGTGGGCATCCCCGGTTGGCAAGACTCAACGTCCCCCTTTGGAGGATCTTTTGGGCTCCCAGCAGGCCTCACTCCCAGCCCTCCTCGTGCTGCGGCTTCTCCAGATTCTGAACCCGGCTTGACCCAGGGGTGCCCCTTGGTGGCCCACTGCCAGCTGTGGCCGGCCTTCCTGGTTGACTTCTAGAAAGGCCCCCACCCCCACCCCCACTGCAGGGCAACTGAATTGTAAATCTCGGCTCTCCCGGACCCACAGAACCTCAAGAGATGGGTCACTAAGGAAAGCCCCTTTTCTCGGGGGCAGGTTGGAGTCAGGTCAAGTTATGGCTTTTCCTTTCTAGCTTGGCACAGAATGTTTTGTAAGGTGGGCACTTCCTCCCAGACCAGCCTCCGCCAGAGGAAGTGGGCATCCTCTTCCCTCCAGCCTGATACTGTCATGGCATTCTGGGGATCGGCCGCCTTCTCTCTGCCCCTTCAGCTGGGGGGGGGGGCTTTTCCACGGACGGAAGGACACCAGGGTTGTTATCAGGGCCCGGCTATAGCTGGGGAGTGGCCATACCCTGTCCGCTCCCGAAGTCGCCCTAGAGGGAAAAGAGGACCTTCCTTTTCCTAGGAGGAGATTCCGTGTCCTGGGTGGGAGGGCGCTGCTGCTTGCCAGAGCCTCCGTTGCCAGGGGGCACCCCTTTCCCTCCGCCCCAGGAGACGCGACCCAGGGATCACTGCCCTCTCGGTCCCTTTTATTCGGCAGCAAGGGCCCAAATAAGATGCATTTCTGAAACAGTGCTGAGGAACGCTTCCTCCAAAACGAGGATTAAAAATGTACACTTGTTTTCCGCTTCCCTTAAGGATTTGTATCAGGAAAACGGGGCGATTCTTTAGGAAATTCCTGTTTGCCACCAGACTTCAGTTGGCAGCATGGAGTGGACTTAACAACACTTGGCCACGGAATCAGAAGCTTTGGCAAATAACTTAAAACTGGCGTCTGCCGTGTTTTCCAGCACAGGCCCCGCCTGGCATCGTCTCTGTATTGTTCCAGGGTCCTGCCTTGGCTCGTTTTCCCCCAACAAGCGCCCTGTTCTCCCCCACCGGGGCTGAGCCGTCAGTTGAAAGGAAAGAGGCCACATCCAGCCCTTGAGTAGCCAAGCCAAGCACGGCTTGGGGGTCTCTCGGGATGCGCAGAGGAAGGGGGCGGGGCGGATGGAAGGGGAGGGCAGTGGGCGGTCGGATCTCCACAATGCTTCCTGGTGGCTCTTCTGACAGCCCCAGCCAGGAGCAGGCCCTCCCGACCAGGAGTGACTGCCCAAGATTACTTCCTCTCCTTCAAGCAGCAGCCGTCCCAACTTCAGGGGCGTCCCCTGCCAAATAGTTGCTCATCGCGGAGGACCAGTCGGTCGGGCATCTCCCAGGACCTGCAGAAGGAAGCCACCCTCTTCTCCCTCACACAATCCCACTGCCGAGGCCGGCGGGAGATGGTGGGCAGAGCGGGGCAGGGGCGGACACGCAGCTTACATGATGGCGCATGAAGAGAGCGGGTTCCGGACGTGGCAGGTGCAGGCTGCCCCACAGTATTGGCGGAAAGTCTGATAGCAGCTGCGGTCGGTCTCGCCACTCCACTGCGCCTGGTTGGCCGAGAGCGCTTCTGCCGGCAGCCTGTTGAGGATGCTGGTGTTGACCGCCAGGGCGGCCAACCCATAGTCGGTGAAGAGCACCGTCTCCCTCTTGCATGTGGGGCAGGAGATGAACTTGTACTTGGGGCAGGACTCGTAGAGGATCTGCAGGCATTCCTCGCACACTGAGTGCAGGCAGGAGAGGATGCGCGGGCGTTTGTTGGTGAAGTTGTAGGTGTGGCCGCAGGTGGGGCACTCCAGGGGCTCGGAGGGAGTGGAGGGGTGCAGCACGTACTGGTTGATGATCACCTCGTCCGAGGCCGGGGCTTGGCGGTGGAAGCAGAGGTCGGAGCTGCCCTTGCGCTGCCCTGGATACAGCCGCTCTCGCCGGGGCAGGGGCGGGGTCCGGGACAGCCCCAGAGACCCCGGGTTGTGGTCTAAGGCTGGGATATCGCCACAGGCCTGGTTAACGATGATCTCGGAATCGGAGGGCCAGGCCCGCTTGGCAACCAGGGGAGGGTCCCGGCGTGGGGCCGGGACATAGCGCGACTGGGAGCTCTGCAGCTCCGAGAACTTTTCAGGGTGGATGATCTTCATGGCCTCCATTTTGATGATGACCTGCTGCCCCTTCAGACATGACATGAGGAGGCTCTTCACCTTCCTGTCCGCGGCTCTGTGTCCTCCAAAGGCCTCCTGCATGAGGCTAGATGGGGCTGGTGGCAAGCCAGGCTTTGAACCGGGCACGGACCATGAAGGGGCAGCGCTGGAGGGGGGCAGCAGGGCAGAGACGCATCCTGCAGCGGGGCTGCCAAAATGGCTGCGGCCTGGGCCTTCCACGCTTTCTGTCCAAGGCGGGTCGTAAGGCCGGGCGGGGGGGGGGGGCGATGTCCACTCCGGGAGTTTTTTTATGCCCACAGATGCGGCTCTCTTGGGCAGCAGGGCGTTGGGCCTAGTTCCCAGGGCGGGTGCTTGGCTGGCAGGATGAGCCCCGGATGAGCCCTAGGAAAGGAGGCCGGGGGGGAGTGCTGGCCTGTGCCTTGCCTTCCGCCCTGCTGGCGTGGCTGAGCCCACTCGGGTGAAGAGGAGGGGATGGAATGCGGCCGGAGCGTCCAGGGGAGGCCCGAGCACTCCCTCCCTCCCTCCCCGTGCGCCTCGGTTCCTGTTTACGTGTGGGGAGATCCTAACAACGCTCAAGAATGTGTTTTGCAAATTCCTGAGCTCTGATGTGCACCTTCCTCCACGCTCTTCCCTGAAGATCAGGTCCCAGGAAAAGGCCCCCAGGTGGGGCAGGTCCTGCTCAGGCGCCAGGCAGAGGCTTTGCTCTGGGGAAGCTGCCCCGGCTTCACTTGGAACTGGCGCGGCCCTTCAGACCCCTGGAAAACAAAGCAGAGCAGCGCATGTTTGTGGGTCCCTTTGCTCCCCCCCTCCCAAAGCTTGAAAGGCACCCAGAAAACGGGGGCTCCTTTTGAAATACCAGCCAGCGCACCTGGCATCTCCCTGTGCTCTGCTGCTCAACTCCCCACTGGCGACTGTCAGTTCTTTTCTCTCCGTTCTTCCCTGCCTCTTTCTCTTTTGGTGTATTTACTCTCTGCGGGCTAGGAGCGTTTTTAATTCCCTGAACCATAATTCTCTGCTGCTCTGAACCAACCAGGCCAGGTGGAGCTGTGGGCCCTCTTCGCTCAGCACCAGTTGTCCCTGACCTTCCTACCCAGAGATAGCAGGCACCAAATTGGGTACCTTCTCTGTGCCAAGCATCTTATCTGGCCTTCAGCTACCACCCTCTCCTGGAGAGAGCTCAGAGAGGCCTGGAGCTCTTAACTGGGTCTGCTGCTCTGCAAGGCATTTTTGAAACCTCGGGCGGGGGGGGGTGCAATACACACACCCCCCCCCCCCCCCGGCATCTATGTGAAAAGATGACCCTGCAAAAGACCCTGCAGGCACTCGGGACATGGATGGGGTGTAAGGCTACCTTGGGGAGGGGGCATGTGGAAATGCTTCAAGATGAGCCCTGGCCTCTGAAGGCAGGTCTCCCTTCACACACACACACACTGTTTTCAGGCTGGGGAAAGGACGGGGCGAGGGCCGTGCCAATCTCTGTCCACAGCTGCCAGGAACAATCTGCTCGAGCAGCACCAGCCAAGTTTCCAAACTGCCCATAAGAGTCTCTGGTCCTTCTGCATTTGAGAGAGGCTGGGCCCCTGCTCCGCGTCACGGCTCCCCAGCCACAACTTGGCCACCGAGGCTGATTGCAACGGCGGCCACTTCCTCTTCTGGGGCAAGCTGGGAACTCCAACATTAGCCCAGAGATCGTCTCTCCCGGTGGGGGGGGCAGTTAAAGACCCAAAAGGGGGGGTCTTGTTGCTGAAGAAAGCAGCCTGCCCTGAAAGGCTGAGATGGGGCCCTCTGGATCGCTGTTCAAATCCTGCCTGATACAAATCTAAGGGACACATCTAAGGCTCGCCCAGGGCCAGCCAGGAGGCCTTGATGGGGGACTAACGTCTTGGGATGGGGGCTTGTGAGGCAGAATAACTTCAGGTTGCAATGCAATGGGGCCAGTTTTGAAGTAATGGGCTCACCGGCCCTTTAGGAGCAAAGATGGGGAGGCAAAGGTGCCATGAGGTGAGAGCACCAGCCCTGCGTTTGTTCCAAGCCCGGCCAGGAAGCCTGTTTTGAAAAGGAAGGAGCGAAGGCTCTCGGCCAGGAGGGACCCAGGAGGGATGTAGAGTTCTCTGCCCTCCGCTCTGCTGGCAGGTGCCTTTGGGCTACAGACAAGCTGTGCTGGCAGAGCGGGAGGAGAAGACGACCGGCTCTCATCTCCCCTCTGCCACAAAGCCCTTTCATCGCCTGAGCAGCTTCTGGGGGCTCACAGGTCCTGCAGCAGGAACGTCGCTGGGCAGCCCAAGAGAGACGCTGCTGATGGCCCATCTCTTCTGGGTTGCAGAGACCTTGCTGGGGGTGATGGAGGAAGGACACTAATGGAGGAGGAGGAGGAGGAGTTGCTGTGGCGTCTTTGGAGGGAAAGTGCCTGGTGAATTCAGGCCAAGGGGGTTGAGTCCAGCGCCCTCCTTGCAGAGGCCCAGGAGCCAACAAGCACAGCTAGTCTGCTGCCTTTGTAGAGGAGGCTGCTGGTGGGGCCTCGCTATTCCGGGGCCCATCGTGTTTGGCCCGAGGCAGATGCTCAACCCGTTGTTCGTGGGCATCCCCCCCCCCCACTCATCGCGGTCCCAGATCCTCACCTCTGTCGGTTCCCACCCGGCTGTCCCGGAGCCCCGGGCATCCTCCACGGCTGGCTCCCCAGCAAGCTGGCGCCGCTCCAGCGGTTTGGCCGAGGAGCAGGTGCGTTGGGGAGCGGACGCCGCGTCCTCGGGCTCAGCCGAAGCGCCCCGTAGCCGGGAAGGCACGGAGGGGGAGCGCCCGGCCGACGGGTCCTCTCTCTGGTTTCCTAGGAGCCCCCGAGGCGGAGCGGGATGCTAAGCTGCGGCCGGATTGGTACCCAAGAGAGGCCGCAGCGGCGGCTTTGCCTCCTTTCCTTCGGCGGCCTGAAGGCCAGCGATGCCCGGGATCGCGGGATGCCTCGGTGCCGTCTGCTTCTGGTCGATGGGGAAGCCTGCCTGCCCTGCCGCTGCCGGATGCCCGCGGCCGCCGCCTCACTCCGTCCCCCGCTCTTTCCGCAGTGAGAGCACTGCAGTGATGCAGGCAGCCCCGCTCGCTCGGCTCACGTTTCCCTCAATCAGCAGCCGCCGCCGCTGGCCCGACCTCGCGGGCTGCGCTGCCTTAGCGCCCGCCCGCCCGCTCCTGCCAGCCGCGCTGCGGAGAAGCTCGTGTCTTCAGGTCGCGCAGGAAGAAGAGCCGCGCTGGGCTCTGCTCCGCCTTCCTCGCTCGCTCGCTCGCTCGCCCGGCGGGCAGTTGCGAAGTTACCCTCGGAGGCGGTGGTGGCGGCGGCAGTGCAGCAGCTTCCTTCCGGCTGCCGGGTGGGCCTCCCCTTGCAGCCTGGAACGAGAGCCCTGCGGGGTAGGTCGCTCTGGAGCCCAAAGGGCGAAGCAGAGGCCGAGGGACCGCCAGAGATGGGCAGAGATGCCGAGGAGCCCGAAGGAGAGGAAGGCGCCCTGCGGCAGCAGCAGCAGCCTCCCCCAGGCAGCCCTGGCTGCTTCCATCCGCTGTTGCTCGGCTGGAGCAGAGCTCAACGCACTCCCCTTCTTCACACACACACACCCCCCAGCCAGCCATCCCAAACTTGCTTAGCCTGCTCTCCCACTCCCCAACCTTTGGGAATAGAAAGAGACACCTGGCCCCCTTCTGATCCTGGCGGGGGGGGGGGGACAGCCTCCAGGCGCCCTTCATGCTCTTTCCACTCCCCACTTTCAAGATCCACCTTGCAGACTTTCCATCTTGACCTCGAGAAGAAGAAGCTCACCGAATCCCTTTTAATCCCCACCTTTGTTCCAAGTTCCTAAGGTGCTTGGAAAATAACATCAGCAGTAAGGCTACCATAAAATTGGGAGGGGGTTTGGTGTCCTGCTGCTGAGCAGATTCCTCCTCGGGGGGGGGGGGGGGGGGGGGGCTGCTGGACCTTGCCAAAAGTTATTGATGGCAAACGGGGTG